AATAATAAATAAATACTTGTAATAAATATAAATAAGTACTTATAAAACACCAAGTAGTTAAAAATTATTATTAGCAAACACTTATTTAATACTACTATTTAATTTATATAAGATAATGATTGGTTTAACTTCCTAATGATAGAATAGCTAAAACATTATTTAAAATAATTTTTAAACATGTTTTGCAAACTCTATCCCTTAATTGGTAGAGATTTGTAGACAAAATTGTCTATATAATTATAATTACTATAAATATGCTTCTAATCTATTTTTTTAATTATTTAAAATACTAGGCGCCTAACCCTTTACAGACAAGATCAATGGTTCGATTATAGCTGGTGGGTAATTAATTTAATTAATTATCTCTATAACCTTTTGAAGCTTTCGAATATGAAACTCTGTGGCGATAAGACCATATGATGTATATATTTGGCTAATAAAGAATTCTTAGAAGGAGCCCTGAGCTATAGAGAAGACTAAATACTGTGTGTGACATAGGTCACAGAAGATATTATTGCAGAAGGCTATGTGTGTAAATCCACAATTGGCAAGGTGGCACCAACAACTCTAAGGTGGCATTGGAATCTTGATTGGGAGGATAGCTATATACAGTATATCCAGAAGTGGTGAAAGAAGTGGTGAACATAGTAAGGGCCGTGGTAAGAGGATGGCTTTACCAAATATAGAACACCTCTGGCACAAAGAAACAAGGAAAACTAGCTAAAAGAAACCCTGAAAAGCATAGAAGCAAGCGATTTGGTGGTACAATAATAAAAACAAGCTAGGGAGTAATAGTCACACAATCTATATGAAAGTCTATGACGAAATATGGCAGAAGCGTGGGTCCTGGATCACTGGCTTGTAACAGTGATTAAATGAGGTACATAACTCCTGTTCTAAGGATCTAGACTTCTGTAATACTATACCAATAGGGAGTACTATAAAAGGATCGGTGGTCTAATTTGGTGGTGTATGACGCGAATATCTGGATCGACATGAAATATCATTCTAGTTTGGCAATTTAACTGTTTGAGATATAGCTAGACCTATAAAGTAACTCCTCTAGGGACACCAAACTGAAAGCACAAAGAGCGCCCACTCGAAGGACACCAATTTAAAAGTAATACAAGTACCGAATTAGGAGTAATATGATAAGTGATGAGGGATGGAAGTTGGTTGGTAGACATTGTACAGTAGTATATAAGTGGGATATATATGATAAAAATAGATTTGGGAACTATCTGGTAATTTAGTAATTGGTCTGGTTGCAGGGCGGTTATTAAGGAGGTAAAATCTTATATAGCAGGTCACACATAGGTACTAGGTTAGTAACAGGATAAGCTAATATCTCGTAATATATTAGAGTGTTGTAATTGTATATGTGACATTTGTAACTAAAATACTTTAGTGTACTAATAAACAGTATTGGCAAGACTGCCGAATTTTTTTAAAAAAAAAAAAAAAAAAAAAAAAAAAAAAAATTATTTAAAATATTTAATATAATAATTTTAGAATTTTTGTAATTTACAAAATTAACTATCTAATTTACGTATTAGGCAAATACCCAGCTGCTATAAAGTACCCAAGTATAGTTACTGCACTGATGTTTGCCAACAAGCTTCATATATAGTGCTACCCATATTTAAAATCTTGCTATAGCTTGGTACTCAGCTATCAAAGTTTGAACTGATTATATTTTACCTTTCTTCTAGACTTATTTCACCAATGTTTAAGCAGAATATATTTTCTTCTACTTCTGCATAGTGCAAACATATATGCCAATTTACAAAAGAAAGACTTCTTTTAAGAGCTGATCCCTTCTTTCAAGTTATCTCACCTTAAATTTTGGTAATATCTTCCTGAACTCAATTCACTTAGATCCTAGCAGATTATATATATTACCTCTTACTTCTATATAAGACTAACACATATGTTAATATTATAAAGGAAGGTACATTTAAAGAAACTCTTTAAAAGCTCTCTCATAACTAAAAAAAAATAGAAATTGTTTTAAAAAAGAAAACAAAAACAAAAGATAAAATAAAACAAATAGAAAAAAGGAAAGGGAACCTAAACCAATTCTAATATAAATGAAAATAGATGAAACAAGCAGAAAAAAGAAAAAATTAAGTAATCTGAATACATTATTATAACCCGTGCCAGATGATTTAAAAATTATATACCAGATGCAACATTTGTATATCTCTGTTGTAAGTCTAAACTTAACCTTAAAATTCCCTCTGACCCAATTCCAAATCTTTTTAATAATCTAAACTGTATCTCAAACCAAGTGCTGCCACAGTACTAGGATCTGACTCTCTATATATAGTGCCAATGATGGCAAGGACATGATATTTCCATAAAGGCGCCATCACTCGAGTACTCGTATCTCAAGCTACTTGGTGCTGCCACTAGGAATTCCTTTTTTGACCAGGACTCGTTCCAGGGCCCATACAACATATTCGTCTCCAAACACATGGTTGCTATCTACCAGTCCATCCGGATTTGGTAAGTAAACAATGCTGATCTTTTGAAGGGGGTAAGACAAATCCCCCACTTTTTATGAAAAATTTTTGGAGACCAATGAAAAAACGACGAGAGGTAAAGAAAGACCACTTAAGCTTCAAACCAATTTAAAGGAGTATGAGTTTTCTTTTCTACAGTCAAGACCCACTGCCCAACACTTGCTCAACCTTTTTTTCAGTGAGTGATAAATCTAGGCTTGTCAGCAGATAGCATATAAGAACTACCTCTAAACAACAAGTGTCGAAACTATGCAGTGAGTAATAAACTCTAAACCTGTCGGCAAGTAGCGTATAAGAACTACTTCTAAACAACAAGTGCTGTCTTATTGTCTAGGTTTTTAGATCAAGTGCCGGCTTGTAAGGTCTTTTCTTGTAGTAAAATCTTTTTCAGAAAATATAGTTCAAGTGATCGTTAGAAAGAGTTCTCTGTAAATTATTATTATTATTTAAAATAAAGCTTAATTTGAACTTTTTTTCTAATTTATTTTTTTTTGATGTTGGTCCATGTTTCTTATTTTTTGTTCTCTTATATATTTTATTTCATTTTATATATTGCTTGCATGAATCTGTAGTATCATATTTAAGTTTTTTATTTTTACAAAAATCACATGCATTTGTAATATGATTGCAAGTTTTTATAATGATAATTGTATTGGTATTGTGTGTAAATTCTTTGTTTAAATAGATTAACCGGATAAAGTAAATCAGAGAAACCTAAGTGATATACTAAATAATTACTATATGTAAATTGATTATGACAATAAGATAAATTAGTATAAAATTCATTCAGAATTACCTCTTGAAAATCTCGAATCTTTGTATTCTTAATGCTACCCACTCATATTTACATGTTTTTTACATTTATTTACTTTTTAATTCTTATTGATTACATCATGTCTTATCTTCTTGAACATACTGAATCTGGCCGTTTTGGTTCTAATCAACAAGTAGACAATATTTATCATATTAATTTTACACAACATGATACTAAAATTTAAACTATTCATAGGAGCATTATCAAGAACATCTTACAGAATCTTTAGATTCCACTTCTGAAAATCCTCATACATACGAAAAAGCTATTCATAAAGGTATTTAATAATACAAATTTATCATAGCTTCTTGCTAATCTGCAATTATAGTTGAAACTTTCAAAATAAACCATACAAAATTTAAAATAACAAAATAATTCACAACTTATTAAAATGTTTTCTCAACAAAATTTAGAAGAACAAGATACTTGAACTTACTTAAGAGAATGTCTTGTAGAAGAATTTAGAGAATTTACTCAAGAAATAAAAACATTAAAAGAAGATATTTCCTTTTACAAGAAATCTTTTTTTGCTTTAATTTTTATTATTTTTATTATTTTAATTTTCTTTGGTATTTATATATACCAAACAAAAAATATTTACGAAGAAAATTATCAACTTTATAGAAAACAAATTGAAATTGAAATTAAAGCACAACTTTGAAATTCTAACATTGAATGAATTTAAAAATTTGTTTTTAAATATTTAGAAGATCAAAAAATTTTTAAAAAATAATTTATTTTATTTCCTTATTGAATATCAAACTACTCTAATTCGATAGTTTGACATTTAATATTATTTAATTTATTTACTTTTTACTTATTTTGTTTTTGCTATTCTCTTTGGTGAGAATTTTTTTTAAACAATCTTAAATTTATAGCTATATCGATAAGCTTGTTATCGATACAAATTGATTCTTATTATTTTGATAATATAATTATTTTTTATTTATTTAATAACAATAGTAGATTACAATCTAAATATTTAACTTTAGTTTAATTTACTTTTTATGGCAGTTTTTCTTACCAAATCTTATAATAATAATTGTTTTACATTATCATAAATCAATAAATATTGATTTATGATAAAGTAAAACAATTATTATATTATATTTTATAAAATTTATTTTGTTTTTGTTTTGTTTATTAAATAAAATATATTTTTTATTATTAATTTAATATAAACTATTTCAAATAAAAATGAATTAAAATTAATTATTTTGTTTTGTTTATATGCTGATACAGCATTTCCAAACGATGATATCAATGATATTGATATCGTTGTTTTGGCTACAACCCAGTTTCGTGCTAAATCAAGTAATAAACGTCACAAAAAACAGTTTTGTCTAAATTATTATCACCTTCTCTCCTTTCCTCCTGTTTTCGTTGAGTTATATTTCTATGATATTTGAAATGCCTCGTGCTTATAACTTGCTTAACAGCAAAAGCTGTTAAGCAAGTAAACGCTACTCATTTTTCAAATATCTCGAAACATAATTTATTTAAAATATTCATCAATTTTTTTACTAATATTACTTTTTTTACTACTTTCTATATTATGTTCTTGTTCTTTTAATGCACCTAATTTTGATAACTTATCAGCTTATTTATTACCATGAATTCCATTATGACTTTTTACATATATCAACTTAACTGTTCCTATTCTATTTTCGATAAGATGTTTTAATATTTTAAAAAGATCACTATTTTTAACAGGTTCTCCTTTATATGTAATATAATTATTTTTTCCCCATTTTTTAATCCAGGATTCAATTCCATTAACCATATATTTACTATTAGTCATTATTTCTAATAATTTATTTTTATTTTTGCATACTTGAATTGCACGAATTATCCCATAAATTTCTGCTCTATTATTAGTTTGTTCATTACCAGATAATCTCTCAGATAGATTATTTGGATTATTTTCTTCCCAAAAGACTCCAATACCAGCTTTTGCATTTGAAGATCCATTTTCAAAAGAACAACCGTCTGTTCAAACTTGAAGTTTATTTGGATCGATAATATTTACTGTCTTTTTTCATCAATAAATTTTTGAGCTTCTTTTAAACTATAAAATTTTTTATATTTTGTATTTGGAAATTTATAAACTTGTGTTTTACATTTATCCCAAGTTTCATAAATTCCTTTTTTTTGACCAATATGAACAGTATAAAATCCTGGTTTAGTTTTTCCTATTTATAAAAGTAATATTTGGAATCAATCGTTAGTCGATCAGTCAATAATAATTTAGACAGAAAAGTGAGAGTTAATATTATGAAAGGAAAACGAATAACTAGACAATATATAGTTTGGTAGACCCTCTCACCTTTAATAAAGGAAATATATATTTTTAATATTAAAAAAGAAAAATAAAAGTCTTTAAATACTTTTTTAAGTTATACAAAGAAAATTCTAGTTGGTCAATATTATGACTAACTAGATGTTGTTTATTACTTTTTTAATACTAATATTACATTCACGTAAATCAAATTGATAATTATTTTTATAATAAATAGAATTAATATTAATATTGAGATATAATAATTCCAACAAATATTTTGATTGATTATAATAAATGTTGTTTTTATCAACATAAAATTTATATTTTTTAATTAAAGGGCATTGTCTTTTATCAAATAAAACATTAACTTCAGATGAAATCTTGATTTGCATATATTCAGTAATATGACCATTTTCATCAAGATACATAATTGGTCTTTGATAGTTTGTATTTTCATTTTCTCTATACTATTAGATTTTTAAAGATTCAGAAGAAGCAATTGTTGTTTTTTTAGAAGAAGACATTTGGATTTACGAAAAGAAAATTCTAATTGGTCATTAATTATAACTAATTAGATTTAAAAATAAAATATAAAAATAAAATAAATATAAAGATTAATTTGAATATGATTAATCATGAAATACATATTCAATAATATATTTCTCTTTGTGAAAAGTTGTTATTTCTGTTATTATAATAAATAAATTATTAATAAATTCTATTGAAAGATGGTAATCAAATTCTGATTCAGTTAATAATTTCAATTTGTTTCGCTTGTTTTGTAATAATATTAAATTATTAAAGGTTTGTCTATTAAAATCATTTTTTTGTAAATATAATATTAAACTTTCAGATTGGTTGTTTGTTTCATAATACTTACATTTGATAATATTATGATCAAATTTAATATATTTTCTTTTTTGCTTTTAGAAATATAAAATTTTTAAATATAATATTTAAAATAATACTCAATTCTAACTTTTTATAAAATATAATAAAAATAAAATAAGATGAAGAATAAGTGGTGCAGTTAAGTCAATAAGTAATGAGAAAGAAGCAGAAGTTATTTAGTTATTTGAGAAGGGCGTTGTTGAATGGGTTGAGAATGGATCAACCCTATTTTGGTTTAGTTCTTGATAGAGCTAACAAGGTTTTCCAACCTACATGTAGGTTGGTGCAATAAGTCGCATCTGGGCGCACATGATGTAGCCGGGTGATGCTGGGTTTGCAATTTTTAATTAGATATTATTAGAATTTTTAAACCTTGTTTTTAGTCTAATAGTAATATAATTTGTATTTGAGCACTGACAAGACTATCAAAGAATTAAAAAAAAAATAAAAATAAAAATAAGATGAATAATTATATTTATGATTGTTCTTTTCAAATTTTTAGATATGACAACTTCTTTGTATTGTTATTTGCTTGTTCTAAGAAAATAGTTCGTTTAATTTCATTATATGATTTTTTAATATTCATGTTCCATTCAGATTCAATTTGATTAAATAATTCATACTTATCCTTTTTAATATCTTCATTTAAATACGGTAATCCCAAATAAATTTTATATAATTCTTGATCATATTTTTTTTTGTTTCTGATTGTATTGAGTAATTCATATTTTTTGAAATCTTTTAAAATCTCCTCTCGATTTTTTTTATTATCTTTACAAATTTTTAATTTATAGTAATATTTATCTTCAGTAATAATTTTTTTATTTTTAATATCTTTTTCTAGAAAATCTTTAGCTAATAAGAATCTTCCTGGAACTTTAAGTAATTCTTCTAATAAATCTTTATATTGTTGTAAATAATCATCCACATTTATAGTTACGTTAAAAAAAATTTAGTTGGTTAATATAAGACTAACTAATAAAAAAATTTGTAAATTTATTAAATAAAAATAAAATAATATAATAAATTTTATTTAGTTGTTTTTTAAGATTCAAAATCTTAATTCATTTTCTATTTTGTATTATTGAAATAAAATTTGAATATAATTAAAAAAAAATAAATTCTAATTTTCTATTTATTTAAACTAATTTTATTTAGTATGTTTGAAATAAAATTTTGAATATAATTTAAAAATTAAAATTCAATTCTAATTTTCTATTCTTTAAACTTTTTATTTAAGATCTTAATTTATTTCAAGATCTTAATTCATTTCCCATCTTGTATTGTTGTTTAATGCGACTGCTGTTGTTTTTGGACAATTATTAAAACATTGTTCACAGAATGTGTGTATGTGATAAAATAATGTTATATTTGAATGATATATATCTAATAGTGGGTCAATAATGAAATTTCATGCACAATTTTCAACATTGCAACAGTTATTAAGCACAATTGTATTTTGATTACAATATTCGAGCTTTTTACATTTATCACAAACTCGTTTACTCAAATCCATTATATCATTAATATGCTTAATATAGAGATCATTATCAAACCAATAATTATCTAATATTTTACAATATCGCTGACTATTCACATCTTTCTTTAACCTCTTTCATATTTTGGGTTTTCTTTTTACACATGTTAAATCTTTCTTTGTACAAAAGTAATATATTTCATTTCTATCACAACATATTCTTCTTCTTTTATACTCATCACAATGTTGATATTTTTTATTGAATTTTACTGTGTTTTTGGTAATTCGTTTAAATTCATTAACAATTAGATCAATCATCTGAAAAACTGTTGGTTTGGTTTCATAAAATTTATATAATTTTGAGTTGTTTATGATTAGTGTTGTATAAATTTTTTGAAGAAATCTATTTGTTAATCCAAAATTGTATTGACTTTTTTGATCAGAAAGAAAATTAAAAATCATTATTATAAGTTCAGTTGGTAATAGCATTTTGAATAAGAGAATTGTATTGAAAATAGAAGTTATTTATATTATTTAAAGTTACACAAACTATTATTAAGTGAAATCACATTGTTTAATATAATCTTTGCAATTTCTACAGAGATTACATTAATATGATTTCCAAATTATATGACAAAGAGTAAATGTATATCCTAAAATAGCTATTCTTTCTAAAAAGTTGTATAAATCAGAATTTACTATTGTATCATATCTATAATTTGCACAATAGGTAAATTCTTTACAATTTTTATATTCGCTTTTCTTCAAATTTTTTAAATTCTTTTGTTTCTATCAAGTTATAATAACCAGACTCATGGTGAATATTTTTACTTCTTATATAATAACAATTATAATATTTTTCATCTTTGTTTTTAATTAAATGCCTAAGAATAGAAATATTTTTAATTTTAAATATCACTATAATAAAATTGTTAATGATTTTAAGTTTAAAAGGTATTGTAATTGGAGAAGTATGAAGATATGAATCATATTGGCGTTAAATTAATTTATATTTCACACTATATATTTCAAATAAGATTTTATAAATATAACGAAATTTTCTAGAAACCCATTTTAAATTATAAAATGTTTTGTTTTCTATAGTTATTTTTTTATCAAAAAAAGTATCGAAATATTTCTATAAGCATATTATCATCTAAACAAAGAATATTTGTTTTTTCCATTTCAAAGTTATGTATTTAAAATTCTAATTGGTATAATAATACTAATTGGATTTTTTAAAGAAATCTGTTATTGTTTTTTGTTTTTTCTTAGATTTTGTATCATTATCATTATCATTTTTTCATTTTTGTTTCTTAATTATTTTTGTATCATCATCCTCATTTGTTTGTTTTTGTTTTTTATTTGATTTTATATTATTATTTTCATTTGGTCATTTTAAAGAATTTTTAATAAAATAATTTTCTTCTATTCTTAATTTAAAAGAATAAATTTGGACTTTTATTATAAAAAGAATTAATTATTTCATTTCTAGTTGTTATTTTTACATATAAAAAATTATATCTGGTTATTTAACTAGATAGTTTATTTTATATTTTTTAAAATAAAATTATTTAAAATGAAAAAAATTTCTTTTGTTTATTTAATTTTACTGAATTTTTAAAATATTCATAATAAAGTTCTTCATTATCTTTTTCACATACTTTTAATAACTTTATAGTATTTTCTTTCAAATAAATATTATAATAACTTTCACAGTTTTCAACTGTAATTATATGAAAATCTGTATTAAAATAACATGACTCCATGTTTTTTACATAAATATTAATTTTTTTAAAATGTGTTAGTAATATGATCTGATAAGTTTGATTATTGGTTTTTTGTGAATCAATAGTACTATTACATAAATCAAATAGATAAAATTCAAAAGTTTTTTTAAAATATTTTGGTAATTTAATTGTTAAAATATTTTTATTAAAATTAATATCCATATTGTTTACATAAATAAAAAAATATTTAGTAAAGCTACTGAATATTAATAATTATTTATAATATAATGAAAAATTATTATTTAGTATTTGCTAAAAGATTAAAAAGTGAATAATATTGGTTTAAATTACATGGCTTTTTTGAATTACGACTAGGGTTGTAAACTTACAGTAAGTTTTGATTTTTTAATGTAAGGTAAGTTATGGTCATATAACTTACATGTAAGTATGTAAGTTAAAATAATATATATAATTATTTTATAAATATATATAACAAAAATATCCAAAATGTAATATATAATTATACTAAAATGCATCTATGGTGTTTTACACCTATGTATATATTATCACAAAAACTGGTTAATTAATCGGTACAGAGTATTCTAAGTAAAAATATTCAACATTCCCAAAAACTAGGGATGGATCAGTCCGTCCTGGTCAGTCCCAGTCCCTATAAGACCGATTTTATAATGTTTATTAGTCCGGTCAGTCCGTCTTTTTGGTCCTAAAATTGGTCTCATGACTTAATTTATATTATAAAAAAAAAATACAGCACATCAAATTTATATTATAAAAAATAAAATACACATTAAATTTATATTTAAAAAAAATACAGCAACGTAAATATGTATATGTAATTTATATTTGAAGGAATTTACAGTATATAAAAATTAAATACAGGGATATTTAACTATCAATTTGCAAATTCCTTTTTGAAGCCAACTCTTTAACCATAGAATCGGTCTTCTTCTAATCTAGCTCTTGTATTTTTTTTTATTTTTTTGGTCAGCAATTTTATTAAGGTTCGAAACATCAACAATTATTTTATTAAAAATTGAAACTTCGACTCTTATTTTATCACATTGAGAGATGGAAGCAAGAAATTTCTGCTATCATTCATAGTTAGAAAGGAGTTTTATTATTATTTGCATTGTTTTCTTTATCAGCTTTTTTATCAGTAGTATTAGTCATTGTTAGACTATAATCAGGATCAGAACTGGGCAATTTCAGACCGAGGACTGAGAATTATTCGGTTCTCAGTCTTTTACTGTCCAGTTCTGGTCTTTACAAAGACCAATCTATCCCTACCAAAAACCCTAACTCTAAACACTAATGCTAACAGTAAGCATTATAACTTACAAACTTACTATACATCATAAATTTTGGATGTAACTTACATATAAGGTAAGTATATAAGTTACAACACTTACAACCCTAATTACGACACTTATTTAACTTAAGACAATCTTCACAAAAACTATTATTATTTTCAAAAAGAATATGATTTGAATATATGCCATTAATATTTTTTTCATATTTCTCAAAAAGAGTTAACAAATATTCTTTATCACAACTTTCCTATAGACGATTTCTTTCTATTTTTCTTTCAATCATTATTTCTTTTTTAGGTCTGATATAGATTACTTGAGACATTCTCTAAATTAATTAAATCACGTTGTTTTCGTAAATATTCTTTGATCTTTTCATCTTTAATATTAATATTGGTAAAGTTTTCAATTTCTTTATAACCATGATCAATAATAATAAAATCATAACCTCGTGTTTTATTAACTTGATTTATTATTTTACTATATGCATCTGTAATCACTTTTTGAAAGAATAATGCATTCTTAGTCTCATAAAATATTTCCAATTCTTCTTGAAGATCAAGTGAAACTTCTCTCATATGATATACTTTATAGCCTAATTGGGTAAGAAATTTTTCTAACATTTTTTCCAAGAGTAGTTTTCCCAGAACCAATTGCACCAGCTAAAATAATAACTTTTGAAGGTTTTGTATAGTTTTTGATAAATATAGATAGAAAATATAAGAATAAACCAAATAAAATAAATGCCAAATCCATTTTTAAAGTTTGTTTGTTTATTAAAGAATTAACACGTATTTAAAGTTCTGTTCGGTGATTATACTGAACAGAATTATATATTTGGTAAAAAATTATTAATTAAAATATTTTTGAAATTCCTTAAATTCTTGTTCAAGATCCAAACGATTGTCAACAATAATTTCCAAATCTTGAAAAGTATAATTCAAAACACAATGACCCCAAGCCTTATCAAAGTTGTTATATTTCTAACTTATATAAAGAGTAGAAAAATTCTTTTTAAAGATATAAATAAATTCCTTGAATTTATGATTTAATATATTTGTAAATGTGAAATTTACAAGATTAATCAATGCTTGTTTGAACAATTTTATCATATTATTAGTTCTTTTATATCTGGTTTGTTAAAATATTTTATAATTGTTATCATAATATTCAGCATGTTGTTTAGCTTCAGAAGAAATACGCATTATATCTATTTTAAGATCGTCATAGTTGTAATTCATCTTAAATTTTATATTATTAAAAATTCATTTAGTCATAAAACTGAATGAATAAAAAATAATACAAATTAAAATTTCTTAATATAGATTATCATTAATCTAATGGAGAAAACCACATTTTTTTATTGTTTTTAATTACTAGTTTTTCAATATTGACATTTTTGCTTGTAATACCAAATTGTTCTAAATTAAATTCATCTGCTTTATAATTTGTGATTATAAAATCTTTTTCTTTGAGTTCAATACTAAAAAAGTTCATAATCAATTGAACTAATTCTTTTTGATTACATATACGAATATTTGATTCTGACGTATTTAGCCAAACTGAAGCTTTAGAAGTTAAATATTTCATTCATTCTTCATTATATACAATGATTCCCAATGAATCTGAATAACAAAAAATTGCAGATTCAAAGTTTCTCATAATATGAACAGTAATAGCAGATTCAATATTTTTACATTGAATCAAAATAGTAATTTTTTTATAAGTAGCAATGATATCAATATCATTGTCTCCCTAAGTAACTTTGATTTCATTAGCCAAAATATTGTTTATTTCAAGAACTTTTTGAATAACTGTTTCAAAATCATGGCCAATTTTATAATTTGAAATCTGTTGAAAATTTTAAAAAATTATTAGTATAAGATTTCTATTTACTCATGTTTGTAAGAATAGTTGTTTCAAAGATATAATTTTGATCCCTATCTCAAGTTCTCAAAATAATAAAGTTAATCCTCTACATTGTATAATGTAAATTCAGAATTATCTTTTATTTTTCTAGAGTAGCGTAACTTTAGAATAATAAATACTAAGTAAAATAGTATAGCTTCTTACTTTTTGTTTGATAGCAGTGGTTATCTTTCAAATGCAATAGTTAAATATCGATTAACAAAAAAATAAAAATGTATACAACTAATATTACTAAATATAGATTCATATCCAAATAATGGATCACAAATTTAAAAATCTACTCAGTATATAATATATACTAAGTAGATGTTTATTTATAATAAAATAATATAAAATAAAATAATAAAATAATAAAAACTAATTAACTTTTCTAAAATTTTCCTTTCTAACATCACCAACCCCAATATTAAAACTACTAATCTTATCATCTCCATAATTATTACTATTTTCTGGTTCAGATGAAGGTGTGCTAGCTACAGAATCTACAACACCATTTACAAAATTTTCCACAATAGCTTTGTTAACTTTTTTTTTTTTATAATTAGAACTAATTCGTTTAGATTTAAATTTCTTATTTATAGCTGTTAAAATTTGATTAAGATTAATAGCTATGAAATCCATTAATTTAAGTTTATGTAATTCTTTAAGATCATAAAATACCCATGGATCATGTTTATCTAGTTCAGTTTGTTCAGATATTTGATCATCATCAAGTATTGTAAAATAAATTGCTGTTCTAAATAAACATTCAACACTATCAGGAAATTTACGAAATCCTTCATGAGTACAAATATAATGAATTTCTCTAGATTCAATATTTGCTTCCTTAATTGTTTCACGAATAGCACATTGTTCAAATGATTCTTTTTTTTTCCTACTATCAACAAATGATTCTTTTTCTTTTCTACCACAGATTGATTGAATATATTCATAAAAATCTTTTGTTGGATTATTTCTTCTATTTAACACCATTTGTTTATCTTGATTAAGAAGTAAATTTAATGCAAATTCTCTAATATTTTGTTTATGCTTATTAATAATTGATTTATTTTGTATCATTAGATTATTATTAATCTCAATTTGATTATTAATTTTATCTTTAATACTAGAAGGTTCATTCATAAATCCATGCTTATAAATTCCATCAAGTGTATTTAAATAAGTATAATATGTTGAATTAAATGTCTGAAGTTGAGTAAAATTATTTTTTGCATTTTCATACTCAATTTGAAGAGAGGATTGTATTGCCATTTTGTTAATTTAAAAATTACATAGATAAAAATTTAATCAGTCTTTATATAGACTGATTAAATATAATTACAAAATTTATTGCTATTATCCAAAGAAGAATCATCCATTTTTAAATCTTCATCGCTAAATGATAATTTATTAAAATCTATAATACCATTTTGTTTAGTTATATATTTGAATTCTAACTTATCACAAACTACAAAATCATTATTATCTTGTGATAAAATTAGACCTGATGATTCTTTTAAAGAATTATCATCAAAATCTTGTCCATCCATTAAATAATTTTTACATTTAGAACAATAGTTTTTTGTTCTAAAATTATAATATTTTTCACAATAATATTTACAATTTTTCTTTCTTATATATTTACGTATATATGAATATGATAATTGTTTAATATTTTTTTTAATTCAAAGACTTTTATAAATTAATATTGATTGTCGTTTATAAGTACAATATTCTGTATGAAAATTATATTAATTTGGTGTTGAATCTCCAAATTTGGATAATACTGATAAATTTTTTTTAATATTTTTGTTATTTTATACAAATAAATTTCTATTTGGTTATAGAACTGAATAGATAAAATATAATAATAATAATAAATATAATTTAATTTAAATAAAGAGATTTTGTTATTAATTTAGTTTGTCTTTTTCAATTTCATCTCCACTTTCACTTTTTTCAGTATCACATTCAAACTCCTCCTCAAGATCTTGAATTGCTTTTTCTATTTGTTGAACCTTCATAACAGAACCTTGTTTAAGACCATTTAAAACTTTATCTCTAAATGTTTTAAATTTAATATAATAAGGATGGCTTCTATTTTTTGTTAATCTTTTTTCAAGTTCTTTAAATTCATTTACAATATGATTAGAATAATCTAACAATGAATTTAAAAATTTTAAATATTTATCCTTATTAGGGAAGGCATTTTCAAGTGCTTGTGCTTCAATTTCTCTTGATAATTTCTAATTTTTTAATTCAACAAAGTAATCAATTTCTTTATTCGTATATTGTTTAACTTTTTTTGAGGCAGTTTTATTTAAATGTTTTGGCATTTTAAATAATTTAAATTGATGTGATATATAATTACATAGATAAAATTCTAGTTGGTCATTATAATGACTAACTAGAAAATATTTGTTGTAATTTATTTAAAGATAAAAACTTAACAATAAATAAAAATAATATAATAATAAAAATACGAAAATATCTTTTATATTTAATTTTAAATATTTTTTGAAATGTTTTAGCTAAAATTGTATCCACAACTTCTGATAGATACAAATATGTTGTATCAATAATTTTTGATACCTTTCTTGCTTCATTAACAAATGGAGCAGATGTGACATCATGATTTAAAATATCTACAAAAATATTTGTAAATTCTGTTAAACAAAGTTGCTACATCCTACAATTAACTTGTGTTTCAAAATTTGCTGATAAAAAAATCTTGATATCGGCATCTGGAAGAATATTAAATGTAGTATCACGTCCAACCACAATATATATCTCTTTTCTTTAGTGATTTCTTGAATAATCAGATTAATTTCTTTGCGTAGTTCATTATTTTTTGCCAATTCAGATGCTTCTTTCCCAGAATTTAAATAATCTTCATCATTAAGTTGTTCGATTGAATTGATTTCAATTAAAAATTGTTGTTTGTTTAATTTATTTTTTAAATCTTTAAGAAATATAATTTGATTATTAATTGGTTCTTTTGAATAATTATATCCTAAATAACAATAGAATAATCCAGAATCAATAAATTAATATCGAAGTTTTTCTGCCAATAATTTTCCAATAGCTGTTTTGCCTGATGCTGTTGGACCATCAATCGTAATATTAATTGTTTGTTGCATCTTAGTGTTATATTATATAGTTAAAATTCTAATTGGTCAATTTGACTAATTAGAAATATATTTATTATATAAAAAAAACTAAATTAATAAATATTATTTGAAGTTTCTAAAGATTGAATATAATATTAATAATTGAAAGAATTTCAGCAGAATGTAAAATAGATTTTAATATTGTAGCAAAAGCAAATAATTGAAATAATTTATCATGTGTATCAATTGTTTTCAATTTAGAATAATTGTAATTTGTAATTAGCTTGAAGAAATCTTGATATTTTATATTAAATTTTTGAGCATTTTCAAAATTAAAAATATTAGCAGTGAAGTATTTATTTCTCAATTCAAGATATTCATCACAATATTGATACATTTTGTTTTCACATAATTAAAATTCTAACTAGTATTAATAACAATACTAGCTAGATCAAATATTTATTTAATAAAATAAAATTATTCTTCCTCATAGTTTTTGGGAAATATTGATATTTAATTTGTCTAGCGATAATAAGTAATTGTTGAATTTTTAATTCAGAATTAATGATATTTTTTTTTGATTAAAATAATATGTGTATAACAGGTTTGAACGTAAAATTAATTTATAATTATTATAAAAACTTTGTGCTTTTTCAAAAATTTCTTGAGTTAAATCATTAAAGAGCCAAGCATTTTCAATTTCATTCAATTCACTAGAATATTGATAAAGAATAGTAGAAAAACTCATTTTTAGATAATTGTTATGTAATTAAAATTCTAGCCAGTATCATTATTAATACTAGTTAGATAGTTTTATTATTATAATGAATAGATAAATGACTATTTTGATTACAATAATAACAATTAAATTGTCTATTTAAATAATCAGATTTAAATAGTTTCTTTTCATGTTTATTGATATATAAAACAAATTCATCTTTTTTCATCATTTCTTTATAATCATGAATAATATTATTAAAATTATTTGTATAAAATTTACATTTTGCAAATTGATTTTTTTGTTTTGTTGTGTAAGTATATCCACAGATGTACACACATTCACACCATTCGACAATTTTTTTACATGCTGCACAACATTTATGAGAATAAAAATCATTGCAATTCCAACATTGACTACCATTTAACCTATATATATATTCATGACGCATATTTATTGATTAAATATCATTTGATAAAGAAAAGAAATTATACTTGTTTATTTGAGAATTTTTTTGAAGATATTAATTTATTGATTTGAAATTATTAAAGGATATGTTTGATTCTAAATTATAAAAAGAAGAAGATTAATTGAAATAAAGTTGTTCAAAAGATATAAGAAATTGAAGAAATGCTTGAAATAATTTTGCAAAAATTATATCAAATTGTTGTAAATCTATCTTTACATAATTAAAAATCTGCTCGGTCAAATAATGACTGAGCAGAAGATGAAACTAGATAATATTCTAGAGATTTTAATTTGTATTCTTCAATTTGTTTTATCTGATTAGTGATTGCAATTTCAAGTTTTTTATTAGTAAATTCTTGAACATTGTTATTGTTTTTTTTTACTTTCCTCTTTCCTTTTCTAAACACATATGTTTTAAAATCATGTAAAAGTTTAACTTCATCTTTATATTGTATCGTTCCTGTATCTGAAAAATTTTTAATCCAAAAGAAAATATTATATCCAAGTTTTATAAAACTATGTAATCTTTTAAGTCTCAATAATGAATTTTTTTAAAATAAACGAGCAAGTTTTTCATTATCAGGAAGATTCTTATCGATACTTTGTAATGTTTTAAAATAATCACAACGTTGACGAAAAGGACAATGATTATCATTATAATGTTTATCATATTGCCACAAATGTGGATAAAATTCACAAGTATCAAGACATTTACATTTAAAAAAATTAAAATATTTTTCATGTTTGCTATGTTCTAACATGTTAAATTTTTCTTTAGAATTTTGTTTTTTATAAATGATAACATATGAACGTTCAAAATTAATATTCCACCAAGAAATATTGTTTTTTATAATAAATGATTCATGAACAATTTTGTAATTAATAGGGACAAAGTGTATAAAATGTGTAGTAATGTCTCGAGTAATAGTTTGAGACATTTTAAGAAACAATAATAATTATTGTTTTTTAATGAATAACTTGTTTGAAGAGACTGTATTCAATTTATCAAATCAAGGTTGATTCGATGAAGGAGAAGTGTTGAAATCCAAGCTCATTTTATAGATATTTTGAACTCTAACGAAAAATTTCTAAGTTTTTTTTACATATATGGAATGTTTTTAAAATTAAGAATGTTGTTGCCTAATTCGTAATTTTACAAATTTGGTTAAAAGTAATTTATTGATTTTCTTATTCATAATTTTACGAATTTGGCTAAATCATAGCAATTAATGATTTTTCTAATTTGTAATTTTACGAATTTGGTATAGTTTGAGATTAGATAATATAAAATTCCCAATCACGTAATCAAGAATTTTTACTTTAAAATATATATAAGCTTATCTAATTTCATTGTGTGAATAAAACTAAAAATGAAAAAAATTTTATTTATACTATTCGTTATTATAATATATTTACTTTATACAAATTTGGCCAATAATGAAAAATGCTGTGATTTTATATCTGAATATGCAAATTATATATCAAAAGACTATAAAAATATATTATTTATCATTAACAACATAAAAAAGGAAAATTTTTT